TATATTTTATAACAATTAAATATACCATTGTTTAAATCCGAGAGAAATTGCATATTCACTTAAGAATAATAAGTTAGCTAATTTTCATTTTTTCTTCTTTTTTAAACATTTGATCATTATTCTGATTTAAATTTAACAACGAAACTATTGTAGATTTATTGTACACATTAGCATAATAATACAATTTACAACATATCAGTTATTTAAAAATTTCAAATAAAATAGTCAACATCATTCTGATCGATCTGAATAGTTAAACACTTTGTCTTCCGAATTTTTTTTTTTATCACTTTGAAATAGATAAAAGAAAAACAGGCCAAATTTTTATGATTGTTTATGTGATATTTTGGGAGACGATGCTCATTATCTTTTTGAAATCAGTGCATAATTAGTTCTAAAAATAGAAGAAATGATTCAGGGGGGAAAAAGAGACGGGAATGATGGAGAAGGGAAAACGCGGGGGAGCTTTCATGTGCGAGAAGATACTGATTGAGTGTTAGGGTGATAAATGATGTGAACGAGAATCTGTCTGTGTCGTATCACCAACTAATTGGATTATGAGCGATTTTGGAGCAATGACAAGAAGGTATGTTATTGAAGTATTGTCCTGCCCTTGTCGTAACTACCAGAATTTCTTCCTGTTCAATTTCCTCTCTCCTCCCATTTTCTCTCCACTTCATACTTCTTTCATTTCTACCGGATAGCTTTTTAAAACGATAATACAACTGATAAGATACTACTTAAATAGAAGATAAAGAGTGATTGACATTGAACGTTACATTAAAAATTAGTACAGCAAAAAGTGCTATTTTAATATTTCGAAAAATTAAAACGATTGAAAAATGTAGTAACGATCGATATTGCACACATTCATCAATTACAGTCTATTTCGATGGCATAAATAATTACAATTTTTCGTTTTCTATTTCAAGTATGAAAAATAAAAAGATATTTATAATGTTTAGAAATCATTACGAATTTGAAAATTATCAAAATTCCACTTCATATTATTACTATAATTTAGAGTGGAATGTTAATTTAATCACATTAAATTAATAGAACTAAATTATTATAATCGTAGGTTAAACTTAGCTATTGATTGACTATTAGTAGGATATACCGATCTTTCGTCGAAAAATACCAGAAATTAAAATTATATTGAAATTTGCTCAAATTTTACGAGCCAATTTATGGTCAATCATTGTTCGGCGGGAAGATCGAATGATACAAGAGAGAGAGAGAGAGAGAGAGAGAGAAAGAGAAAGAGAGAGACCCTCAATCCCTCCAATTTTGAAAATCTATCGATAGATGACGAATTTCAATTTTCATCAAATTGACAGGCACCCTACAGACTCTTCTTCACCTGTAAATACCATAGCATGAATTTGAAATTCTTTCTCAAGTGACTCTCAAAGTTTTCAAACTAATTTCACAGCCTATCGACAGCTATAATGCAATCAGTCAGTCAACGGTACATTTACTTTCAATTGATTAAAATCTATCAAATTAGGCGCCAAACTTTTTTTCTTTATAAAGAAGGGAAAAAGGGCAGTTAAAGATGAGTGAAATTCTTGATAAAAAAAAAAAAAAATAGATTAAACGATTGAAACAGAATGTGAGATGAAAATAGAAATGGAAATAAGTTTGGATTTTCTGAATATGCCAAATAAATTAGAATTAATGTAAATTATAAATTTTATTAGACGGATTAATTTGGAAAAAATCGAATTTTCACTGAAGTTTTGTGGACTGATTTTTTTTTCCGAATTTTCTAAATCTTTTATTTTTGAACATCGTAACCTCTATTCAAGTTATTATTCAGTTTCTTGATGAATCCAGACTGAATATTGACCTTGACCTTTGGGATCTTCCACATATCTTCCAACCTTTTTCTTTTTATCATAAAATGAATACAGAAAAATTAAGCGATACGAATGAGAGTAATCAGTTTTTTCTCAATATATTATTTAATGCTAGGTCAAATTACAGTTCATGTAACTTAAGCTTAGATCAAAATGACCAGAATGAAACAAAAATTAATTTAAAGTGATACAAATTTGATCTAACCAAGTAAGCAAAATGAAATAAGAAGGCTGCAAATATAAAAATCAGACATTCAAATTTTTATTAGTGAGAATATTATATTTTTTATTATAGATCATGCAACTAAGTTTAGATCGGAATGACAAAAAAAATTTTCAATTTCTTCCCACTTCACCAAAAATATTTCAAATTATTTTAAATTTATTGCTAAAATTGAAGTTAATAGAGAAGTAGCAGCAGAACGAATTTATTTTTTCTTTATTCAAATTTATAACAAATTATCTTATGAGAAAACAATTTTTTCCACTTCATTAGAGATATTAAAATAACTTATGTAGTAATATTGTCAAATATTTATTTCAGTGAAATAGTTTTAAAACTTAGCTGGTAAAAAAGGCATTTCATAAATTAAAAGCATAAGAAATTTTGGCAGTTTCTTTTTAAACAAATTAAACGAGTCATGCAATCGGTGAGCGTTGAAAATATCAATACTAATTAATTTTTTTTTCCTTCTTCTTTTTTGATGCTTATCTCCGATGACAACTTCTATGGGACAACAAAGAGTATCACATTCAATAACATATGTTTTCTTCATGTTTCAACAACACTCAATCATTTCATTTCACCGATCAATTTGAAGAAAAAAAAAGAGGAAATTATGTTGATTTGAAATTTGACAAAAATTTCATGCCAATTTAAAATGATTGATTGTAAATGATTGGGAAAGTTAAAAAAAAAAAGAATTGATATTTTAATGTTTGCAGAAATGATAACTTTCATTCTTTCTTTTTTATAACTAACCATTAAAAACTTGATAATATTTCTATTATTTGTTCATATTTCGAAATTCACGCAATGCATCAGGAATGAGAATACAATGTTAACAAAATGCAAATATTGATCGATTACTTTGCATATCAATAAATGCATTGTTGCTTCAAGGATTGTAAGAAAATCATTAAGACATCTCTCGTTAACATTGAAGATGTCAAATTCTTTTCCTGCTTTTCCCGCGGTATCGAGATAAAGATAGAATTCTTCAGTTAAAGATTTTATCATATACTAATTAGATGGACAACTGGGATCCGTAGAAGTGAAATCAAAAAAGTTCAAGGAAGTGGATTTAAAACAAGAACGTTTCAGGAATGAAATCTCGTGTCAACTATCTCGCTTTTAATCATCAAAAGAATTGAAGTTCTCCGAATTACATGAATAAATTAAGTAAATAAAAAGGAACAAAAAAGTTTTATGTTATTGTATTATTCAAAGGTAAAAGTAAGTAAATAATCAAATGGTAAAGGTCATGATTATAAAAAAGTATAGGTTAATTATTTGATGATGTAATTTAATGTTTACAGAACATAAGACGATGTGTCATAAGGACGTGGCGTGGATGTTTCAGCAATGGGACGGTGACAATGATGGAGAATTAAGCATGAAAGAATTAGCTCCATTAGAGGCAGATTCGAAGGAGAAATGTCTGAAAGCATACATTGATCGTTGTGGTTTGTGCTAATTATTTTTACGTCATATATCGATCATGCATATAAGCGATCACGTTTTTGGCGCAAAAGGATTTGATTTTTCGTGACTGATGCGTATCTTTGGAATAAATTTTTATCCTACGATTCTAAAAATGTATTTTTAGTACTGAAATATAAAAAGTTTTCTTTGAATTATAAGAATCGTGTAATATATCGCATACTTTTTCACTAATTTAACTCATTTTCTTCCTATTGTTGTAACACTTCCGGAAATGATAAATAAACGTATCACTGATAGATACGGAGCCGGGCAATGTTAATGTGATAACATTGGATGAATGGTGTGATTGCTTTGCTTGGGCCGATGATGATCGACATGAGCCACCGTGTCATGCAGCAAAACATCAACAAGATCCGCATTTATTGGGTAGGTGTGTTAATATTTCGATCTATCAGTTTGTCCTCAGTTTTCATTTATTGTACCGTAACTGAAGCTATAAGCATCCGGGAAGAATTATTAATTAGTATCATCAACTAAAGTTTGATAGAGATATTGTGAATAAAACAAAATAAAAATGATTGAGGATTCAATCGATGTTATCAATTAGGGTTTAAAGTAGGATTTAGTTTAAAAATCATTATATTTCATTTCATCATTCAATACTTTAAAAAAAAAAATATTTTTATTCTATGTCTATTTTAGTGATAAATTTTGCAAAAAATTTAACATGTGCGGTATTTCAGAAGCTTTTCATCCACGTTGCACATTGGAAGGATACTACAAGGTGGAGCAATGTCATGAGAATTCTTGTTGGTGTGTTGATAAATATGGTCGAGAATTTGATAAGTCACGAGTAACGGGACGTCTTCCAGATTGTGGACAATATGGTATCCTTTTTTTATTTTCAAGTGATCTTGAATCGCACGATTTCATATGAATTTTGTAATAAATTTTATTAATTTTTTGCAAAATTCAATCATACTGACATAAATTCAATTTTTGACAAATGTTTTGAATTTTTTGATAAATTAATTTGATTCATTTATGGTTGATTTATTTTCAGCAACCGAAATGGATGAAAATGAAAGGGAAGAACTTTTAGCTGAATTATGAATTCCATCCGTTTTGCTGTGCAATTATTTCCTTCATTTTGTTATGACAAAATGAATGACAGTGATGCTTTTTCATTCTTTATATATTTAACAAATTAGCATAATTTATTTGCATATTTAATTACTTAAATTAAATGTACCATTTCATGTAAACCATTTTCTGAATCATATATGTTAATAATCAATCATATTAACCATATCATACACCAAATAGGATAATTTTTTGAAGCATTTCAAAATGTTCTTCGGCAATCGCACTTCGACATGCTGAAATCAATCGACTGGCGGGTGCACCCACTGAAATATAAATATGCAAAATTTGCCGAAGCTTAAAAATAATTGATTAAATATTTCGCATAATTACGAAAATATGTCTCGAG